TTTTTAACCAGAGTAACTCCTATTTCATAGAGAAAACTAGAGGTAGATAATTCACAACTGTCTGTGTTCCAAAAGCATTTTAACAGTCTAGCAAAGCTTATATTGCAACTTTCTACAGCCGCAGACATATCTTTCTTTTTTTTTCTTTGCAGGGGAAGATTCACCCTAAGCTAACGTCTATTGCCAGTCTTCCTCCTTTTTTCTTCCTTTTTATCTCTGCACAAAGCCCCAGTACATAGTTGTGTATAATTGTATGTTCTTCTGGTTCTTCTCTGTGAGCCACCGCCACAGCATGGCTACTTACAGATAAGTGGTGTGGTTCCACACCCCGGGAACCGAACCCAGGCCTCCAAAGTGGAGCACGCTTAACTTGAACCACTAGGCCATCAGGCTCACACATACCTTTTTAAAGAGACAGAATGAACACATTAACATGACCCAAAGATAGGAACTTTCCATGGGATATAAGCAAAAGAATATAATCTTAAAATTATGCCTAATAATTAGGCATCAGATTTTCAGTAGTCTTAGTTAGAAATTATCTAGATATCAAATGAATATTCATTATACAATTCAACTTAATAGTAGTCTAAGGCTTTATGTTACCTAAAGATCTTGGGAATTATATTCAGGCTGACATACTAAAAAACATAATTACTGTTGAAATAAAGTTGTCAGAATAATGATTTGATTTTGTTGAATACAGATTTACATTTTTCATTATCTTAAATATTGTATAGGAGTAATGTTAGCTTATTTGATTTGAATAAGTTTAAGAAAAGCAAACACAAGTAGAAAAAAACGTATGCTTATATTATACCTAACACTGATAAATCAGAGAACAAGCTATTTGTATTAAAAACCAAAATTATTTCACTAGTCTGATTTATCAAAAATTTACCTTAATTACATAAACTTAAATTTTCAAAACATTTCTGAGTTTCTGTAAGAATAACTTTTTAAGTATACCACATTTAAAGTATCAAAACTTTAATTTCCTCATTTTCTTGGAATTTTATGAATATTTGATTTATAAAAGAACTTATTTACATAAGAATTCTATAGGCCAGTCAGAACAGAGTTTCTTTAATTTAGGAGACTTTTTAATCTAATTTATTAGTTCTCTCCACAGGAAAATATTATATACTCATACAAAAAGACGTAAAGGTCTTTCCAAATTATAAGCATATATACACACAGACACATAGAGAGCTTATAGCTTCAGATCTACACATTAGCCACAGGTCAAAAGAAAACACAAAAAAATTATCAGTCCACACATCAAAACAGTTGTTCTCTTTCCTGGTGGGCAAGAGATTCTTAATTTGAGCTCAAAATAGACAAGTAGACAAATAAAGAAAATAAAATGCTAACAAATCAGATTCTCTGTTGTCTCTCACCCAAGAAAGAATAAATTTCTATAATCTATTAATCCATTTACATAGATCACAAAGGTTAGACTGTAAAACCAAATTCTGAATCATTACTGTCACCAATGGGGAACACTTTATTGACTGAAGTTTCCGAAAACAAAAGCAAAACACAAAAATAGTAAGATGGAAAATATGTAAAGAGATAGAGGATCAGCAAAGTGAAAGTTCTGTTGCTACTGAGAATTTACCTCTTGGAGCCAAGAAAAGAAATGCCTGGGTTTAAGTCATCCATGAGGTATAACACTCCTCCAGCAATGCAGGTTACTCAGCCATCAGGTGAATTCTCTGGGCATTGCAGTGGAACTTCCAAAATGTTTACAAGATAATTTTTCTGAAAAGGATATAATCATGACTCTCATACAGATATGAAATGAATATGCCAAATACTTATTTTAATTTATTAATTATAGAGGGAACCAGTAAAATATTATAAGCAATTCAAAGGCAAATCCAAAGAGCAGAACATATATAGGGAACGAGAAAATTTGAAATTAATTTACAAACAGCTGCAAAGCAGCTCCCAACACAGAGCAATAATTAATTGCGTTCCGCTGGGCACAATTAATTTGCATCTTTGTAGACAAGAATATTTTGTGTTATCATCAGTTTTCTACAACTTAAATAGTTGTCAAATAGCACGAAAACAATGAAAAGCAGAAAAAACTTGGATGGGTGAGCCACTCAGGACACTTACTCTTTTTGTTTTACCCATTTCAAAGTCTTTACAGTTTTACTGACTCTATTTAATAAAAGATGGTTCCAATATATTCTTTCTTGCTCGGGAAAAGGCAATACCAAAGCTTCTCTAATCCCAGACCTAAATTTCTTATCATCTCTTCCTACAAGAAAAGAAGAGAGAACAAGTAGCACCACTCTTCTGTACATCAAATATAGAAAAGGCCTAATGACTAATATTTCCCAGTTGTAGATAATGTCTAGCTCTTTTAGTATCTCTCTCTTCTTTCTCATCAACACCACATTAGTGAATACTTGTTCCCATAGGAGCTCCCTAGCAGCCTAAAGGTATGATAGACTATCCTGAATAAAGGTAAAAGGAACAAATCTTTTTTCACAGATTATAATTTGAAGAGGGAAAAAAGCAGATCAAATAGTTTTTAAAGTGATAAGAAGCTTTTCATGAAACCCACAGACAGGTACTTCCACCAATCTGAATCAATTCCAAACTTGAAACATTTTATTTGACAAACTTGAAATCAAGATAGGATTCTTTTGCTTTATTAACCTGCAATCACGTGTCTTTGCAAAGCCTTTCACTAAGAATTTTGCAGAGTTAGTGACCCATGGGGTTCAGCAGAGTCTAGACAAGCACAAGCCTGGGACATTGCTTTGATGCTAGATATTTTCAGTAATGTCACAACCCAGGGCCTCAAAGCTCCTGATTGGAATTATCGCCTTCTTAAGAATAAGAACCTGGGGGAAAACATGAAAACGTCTCCAGGGCCACAGCCTTTTTACTTTTGTTTGCTACAATATTGAAGCAAGAAGAAATTCGTTTAATGCAAATTATTTGCGTGGGCTAGACTAACAATATAATTTATGTGTTTTAGGCTCAACCAGGTGACAACTCTACTAGAACCCCTATCCAGACAGAACTCTACATACAAGCTGTCATTTTTGACCACATTTCCAGAAGAAAGACTTAACTACCAACATGTTAGATGGTTCCCTGATGGTTTGCTAAATTTAAATGAATCCTGTAACCAAAAGCAAATTAGAATAATAAATAAGTCCTGTAGCTGGAAGGCAAATTAGAATAATAAAATTTAATAAAGAAATTAGAAAGAAAACCATAATCTTGACTGTCTTTTTGTGGCACAGAGCCTCTTAGTCTGATTTGAGGTTTTTCTAATTTTTTCCACCTAAACACTGAAGCTGATTGCAACAGTTCATGGGAGAAAATCGTGTTGCCTCTTCAAAAATACAGTAATCAGTGACTTATTTTGTAGCTCAGATTTTCCAAAACAAAAATTTTCCAAGTCCTGCTGTTGACAAATATAATGGACTCGTGATTGAAAATTAATATTTGGTTCTTCCTCTTCTCCTTCCCGTTCTCTTCTCTTCCCTTTCTAAACAGTCCAGCAGTAAGGCAATTAGGTGGGGCCATGCAAGGTAGAAGTCTGCTCAAGGTGTGTGGGTGGGAGAGCCCAGAGCAGGATGTCAGAGGCCCAAGGGGGTGAGAGGGATGTATTCATTGGAGAGGTGATGGCCTGGTATGAGGTGTCAGATCTCAATCAGGATGAGTAGACTGGTGTTAAATCAGCATTGGATATAATTGGTGTGATCTCATCATTTTCAATATATACAACAGATACAGAATATATGTTAATGTGGGTATGCATACATATTCCCTCGCTCTGTCCACTAAGAGGGCCTCAGATCAGCAACATCCAATATTAATGAGCATACCTAGCTCCCAGTTCTTACTTTCTCAACACCGTTTTCTATCAAAAGGAAGCAGGGATCCTTGGAAAAATGACTGATCCCAGCACTGAGGCAGGGAAAATACAAGAGTCTGGAACACCTTTTTGTGCCAGAAAGCAAAGTTCTCGAAAAATGAAGGGGATTCATCAAAAGGACACAGAATTTGCCTTGAAAGATTTCCCACTGGCCACATCTGGGGCAGTTTGGGTGTCAAAATAAATAATGATAACAACAGGCGTAAAATAGGGAACCGTGAGTCCATACTGATCTACATAAATGAATAAATGTAAAGTTTGAAGACTAATGGGATATTTACATAGTATCTCCATACAAAATACTTATTAATTACAGAAGGAGCAATGGAAAAGCCTGGAAGACACTACTTTCAGGATGTGATCAAAGAGAATATGATCAGTAATGAGGCAAACTGAATTTGTTCCCCACCAAATAAGATGCAACAGAGGAACAAAGCGTTCCTTTTGTAATAATCCTGCCAAAGTTGCATAACCGGAATCTAATCAAGAGAAAAGTCAGACAAACTCAAATCCAGAGACATTATACAAAATAACTGGCCTGAGATCTTCATAAGTGTCAAGATCATGAAAGTAGAGGGAAAGACTGAGGAAGACTAGAGAGACATGACAACCAAATGCAACACGTAATTCTGAGTTGTGTCCTTTTCCTATAAAGGGAATTCGGGGACAGTTGGTGAAAGTTGAATGGTTTCTGAGCATTAGATGTTAGTAATGTAAAATAGTTTATGTCCTGATCTAGAGGATTATGTTGTGGTTATATAAGAAAATATCCTTGATTGTAGAAAATTACACTAAAGCATTTGGGAGTCAAGGGGCATCATGTTAGCAAATTGTTGATGAATATTCCAGAGGGAAAAGGTCTTTGTGCTGTACTTGCAACTTTTCTGTCAGTCTGAGGTTGTTTGACGTAAGTTAAATATTTGATTTGTTACATTTATAAATTCAAAACCCTAGTTCCTTGTACTTTAAGTACAATGTATAAATCTTATTGTTCTTTCTATAGATTTGATGAAATTTTAACTACTTTCATGAGTTCTTCTATAGTTTAATTAAATTCCTTTAAACATTTTAAATTTCATTTATCAACTTTATTCGATTTTCTAATTCAAATTTTCAACTAACAAATAAGCTTTCATATATATTTAAATAACTCATAAATTTAATAAATTAAACTTATAATGACTCTTATGTTCTCTTAACAATTTCAATATGATTTACACATTTATAAAATTTCAATTTAAAATCATACCTGAATTAGTAATTCAAATATCACATTTTAAATTGGAATAGTAAGGCTTACCTATTAGATACTCTATCCTTTAATATGCTAGTTTTTCTTAAATGTTTAACTATTTTAAATATTTTAAGTATAGGTATTTAAAAATACTTGATATATTTACAGATTATTCCTATATTTAATGCCAAGGTTTACGACACAAAAATTAATTATATCATCACAAGTAATTTTTAAATTAGCTTCTGAACTGAATTTACTGATGATAGTAAATACTGAATGGAGATTTGAGTTGGGTTATGAGATGTATTTGTTTGCTAGGGTTGCCATTAAAAAAATACCACAGACTGAGTGGCTTAAACAACAGAAATTTATTTTCTGACAGTTCTGCAGACTGGAAGTCCAAGATCAAGGTGTCATCAAGTTTGATTTCTTCTAAGGTCTCTCTCCTTGGCTTGCAGATGCCAGCCTTCTCACTGTGTCTTCACATGGTCTTTCCTCTGTGCAGGCATCCCTGGTGTCTCTCCATGTGTCAAAATGTTTTCTTCTTATGGGAACACGAGTCAGATTGGATTAGAGTATACCCTAATGACCTCATTTTACCTTAATTACCTCTTTAAAGGCCCTATCTCAAAGTATAGACAATTCTGCCTATAATGTGGGGTGTGGCTTAGCAGCCAATGCTAGGCCAAGTCTAGATCTCTGAGTTTTGCAATTTCATGCCTTTCAAATGTGGGTTGTCTTGCTGTCCAAGAGCCTTGGATTCAAATATCGTATTACCTAATTTCGTCTGATTTGAGTTTGCAACACCCACCCGGGTTGATTCATATTCAGTGCGTCTAGGTAAGGTTTCATTCTCTTTCTGAATTGTTTTCATAATCTTTCTATCAGCAAAGCCACAACTCCTATAAATATTTAAATGACATCTGATTGTATTGAGGATATCTCTCTCGTCTTGCCTTGCTCTGTTGTCACTGTTCTAAGGTCAAATTAATGCAACTATTGGAAATTCCCTTCATGGAAGCTCATTAAGGTGACTTTTGCACAGTAAAGAAGACAGAGCAATTAGAGAACTTTTATGCATGAGTCCAGGGTACACTAAAGAAGTAATTTTAACCTAAAGCTAATGGTTGAATGCAGGGCCAAGGAAAGGGAATATGTGAAATGTATCTGAGAATCAGCAGAACAGTGGGCCAAAGACACTGGACCAAAGAATGAGCTAGCCGACCGAAAGGAAATGAAACAAGAAA